GAGCAAAGCCAGAAGAGTAATTCCTGCTCTCATGGAACTTACATCCTAGTTGAGGAGGAACCAGACATATAAATAAGCAAAGCAGGGCAAAGTGAGAGAAAATGGAGCGAAAGGTGGGGCTATTTCACAAGGATAGCCAGGACACTCACAGAGAAGGTGACCTTGGAGCTGACACTGATGCCTGCTGGGGAAGAGCATCTTAAGCAAAGAGAATAGCCGTTTAGAGGCTGAGGCAGGCGTGCACTCGGCACAGAGGCCGCCAGCATGGCTGGAACAGAGTGAGTGCAGAGAACAGTAAGGTCAGCAGGTTAGTCAGCGGCCAGGCCGTCTGGGGCTTTCTGGGCCTAGAAGGACTGTGAGTTTGATTTTGCTGTGATGGGAAAGTGTTGGTGGGCGTGGGGCAAAAAATGGCAAGTGCTTATATGACAAAAGGGTCACTCTAGTACTGTCTGGGGACTGACCTGAGGAAGGAAAGAGTGAAAGCAGAGAGACCAGTGAGGGGGTCTCTGTGGTGGAGGGCAGAGAAGACTCAGCCGAGGAGGTTGAGGGGGAGGCGATGAGAAGTTGCAGGATTCCAAATGTCTTTTGAAATAGAGTCACCTGGGTGGCTGGGATGTTGGATGTGAGAAAAAGACAAGGGTCAAGGAGGATGACTCCAAGTTTTTAAACACGTGCCTCAAAATGAATGGAGGCCCCACTTAGTGAGATAAGGAGCCAGGTAGGAAGAACCGATTTCAGGCGGAAATTGAGAATTTGGTTTTGACATGTACTTTGTACTTTTCTCTTATCATGGCAAAATTTACATGAGATTTGCCATTTTAACCATCCAGAAATGTACAATCCAGTTGCATTAATGATGTTTTCACTATCACCACCATCTAGTTCCAGAACTTTCTCATCATCCCAAACAGAAATTCTGTCCCGATTAAACACTAATTCCCTCTTCCCTTCCTCCTTCCACTCCTGGTAACTTCTTTTTCACCTTCTGTTTCTATTGTAAGTTTAAGATGGGTACCAGACATCCAAATGAAGAAACTGAAAGCCAGGTGGGTGTATGAATTCTAGAGTTGGAGGGAGACATGAGAACTAGAGATATAATGTGGCACAGTGATCGTACCATTCCCAGTGATGAAACTGAGTACGTGATTCTCAGGCTGTGCAGCCCAGACGCAGTGCTTGGCACACAGTAATGCTTCAATAAACATCTGTCCAGCTGGGAAAGGAAACTTTCCGCTCTCTAGCTTGAAGGGACAGCCATTCATTAAACAAGACTTAAGGAGTACAAGCCTTTAAAATAAATAGCTCTCTTTCTTGGGGGGAAAAATGCCTGAACCAATTCTAAAATACACAGGCACTTCCTTTGCACTTTTCAGAAATAATTTTGATTCCTGATCTCTTTGGCTAATGATTGTGCCAAAATCCAGTGCCACTTGATACCACACTGTTATTTAAATAGGATAAGAGTGATGCCCCCAGATCAGCTCAGAAAATAGGCGAAGAGTTTCTGTCTAAAACCAGGCATTCCACTGGGCACAATGGCTCACAACTATAATCTGGGCACTCTAGGAGACCCAGGTGGGTGGATTAATTGAATTCAGGAGTTCGACACCAGCCTGAGCAAGGGCAAAACCCCATCTCTACTAAAAATGGAAAACTAACTGGTTATTGTGGTGGGCACCTGTAGTCTCAGCTACGGGGGAGGCTGAGGCAAGGGGATCACTTGAGCCCAAGAATTTGAAGTTGATGTGAGCTACGATGCTATAGCATGCTACCCAGGGCAACAGTTAGATTGTCTCAAATAAATAAATAAATAAATAAAGGGGGGGGGAGGAAGGGAGGGAGAAAGATAGGCATTCAAAGTGTTTCAAAATTGCCAACCTCTATTCAAATTACTTGAGGGGCATTTGAAGAGCAATGTGATCATGCAAGGAGGTAAAAGTGTGGCTACCAAGATGAGGTTCTGAGAGAGATTTGAATGTTTTCTATACAGAATGATCTTCAAGTGCTACATCTTGACCATCTCAAGATGGTCGTATGTGGGCAGCAACCCTGTGCCTTACCTATGTGGGCAATGCATAGTCAGGACATGGGAGATGGGGGTGGAATTGCTCTTTGGGTGATGACACTGGAATCAGCTTCTCTAGCCATGCAGCCACAAGTAATTTGGGGATATGTACTTGACATGGGAAGATTCCAGAAGCCTGAGCTGTGGACTTAGTAACACAGCATCCTTTGATCATTTGCCTTCCATTACATCTGTAACTAACCAGAGGTTATTATCCACTAGAACCACGCTACCGCCTGTAAGTTCAACTGAAATGGCCTCTTCAGCATAGGTAGAATCTGCAAACCTCAGAGTAGAGAGGTACAAGTCAGGTAAGTCTTCACATACTCCAGTTTTGGGGCTTCCATGAGAAGTAAAACCTGTTCCCAGTAAAATCATTAGTGCCTTCTCTGAGTCATCACACCTTCCCAGCTCACCGTGGCTGGCCTGTGGTGCTAAAGTTTCCCCCATTAGTAATAAGCCTAGAGACCAAACATTTTCTGGAAGGCAAGAGAGAATTTTCAGTTACTTGAGTTGAAATTTGAACTTTGAAAGCAAAGATACACTTGCCTACTTTGAAAAAAAGGAAAACCTCATCAGTTTAAAAGGCTAGTAATCCAACTCAAAATGTGCATAGAAAATTTAATGTACCTTCTCCCCGAAATTTCATCATTGGGTTTGGAACTTTCTGATGAAGTCAGAAGAGGAAGGTAAGGGACTATCATTTCTACATGTTCTTTTTTTTTTTTTTTAACAGTGGAAAAATATATTTAGGATAGATTCCACAAAATACTTTCTTAACCTGGTGCTATGTTGAGTCACTGCCCACCTCCAGATACAAATTTCCTTGGAATACATGAGGCTCTACCTGTTTTCAGTAATGATAGAAAAAATCATTTTCAATGCTATTGTATTGTGAAAAGACTTAACAGACCAAAATAAATGCTAAAATTTCTGTTTCTGAATGTGTTTGCAAAACACAGGGATTTGTATCACTAATGATAGCCAATGAAGAAAACGAACATGTCACACACGATGCACCAAAAGCATTTTGTAACAAATTCCACTGCAAATCTGCAAGGCAGAAATGTTTTCCAAAAGACGGAATCATTTCAATTGCCTCAGGGTTTTTGAATGAACCATATATTTGATGTAAAAACATTTTCAATCATGTGTCCCATTTTAAAGCTCTTTGTAAGTTATCATGACCCTACTAAACAATGTGGATGTTCACTATTAGTAAAAAAATGTAAACTTGACTTTTTCTGCTGTCATGGCTTGGAGTATGTCATATCATCAAATGGAGACTCTCAGCCACACAAGTTTATTAAGCCAAACACACAGCTTTATAACATTTTCTCAGGAAATAATTAATGCAGTAAAGAGGTTTTAAATATATATATATTTTTTTCTTTTTTCAGTCTCCGTAGAGACTGTCAAAAATTGCCAGTGCTGACTATATTTCAAGTTGTCACAGTGGGGTATTGGGGAAAGTTTTCAGTTAGCAATAATTTGCCTCAGATCAATCTCATTGGCTACATTCTAGAAGTCCAAATGAAGATGATAGGAAAAAATCTACATTGCTTGATATTACCCATATTGGTCAAACTATAGCAAGTGTATCTCAGCCTCTGGGACTTCAAGCAAGCCTTCAATTTAGATGAAGAAGGAAGAACATATTTCCTTTTAGAAGATATGAGGTGGTTTCAATCTGTTGTCTAAGTTTATCAAACCTATAGGGTGCAGAATGGAAATCATGGTTGATAAGACTGAAGATATAATAGGATAAGGTTTAGGTTTTGTTCGTTTGTTTTGGAGATGGAGTCCCACTCTATCACCCAAGCTGGTATGCAGTGGCCTCATCATAGTTTACTGAAACCTTGAACTCCTGGGCTCAGGCAATCCTTCTGCTTCAGCCTCCCAAGTAGCTGGAACTTGTAAGGACCCACCATTATGCCTGGCTAATTGTTCTTTCTTATATTTTTTCTTGAGACAGAGTCTCACTCTGTCACCCTGGGTAGAGTGCTGTGGTATCATCATAGCTCACAGCAACCTCAAAGTCTTGGGCTCAAGCAATCCTCCCAAGTAGCTGGTTCTACAGGTGCTCACCACAAGGCCCAGTTAATTTTTCTATTTTTAGTAGAGACAGGGTCTCACTTTTGTTAAAGCTGGTCTCAAACTCCTGAAGTCAAGCAATCCTCCCTCCTTGCCTCCCAGAGTGCTAGGATTCCAGGTGTGAGCCACTGTGCCTGGCCAAAGGTTAGCCTGGAAATTCACAGGCACAAACTTTTATGTTTTTAAATTAATTCAATGTTGGGAAGACCTGCGCTGATGTCGGACTCTTTATATAGTTTACTTAACCCACTTAGTGTGAATATTCCCCTATTGTACTGCAGAAATATTATTAATGTGTCAGCTATGGGGTACATAATACATGGTCTATGTGTCATAAATCCCCCAAATTTTAAATTTCTGGCCCCAAGGATTTCAGGTAAGGAATTAGGATCTGTAAATATGAACTTTCATGCATTTATGAACTAGGATATAACTTTCTCCAACTGAGAAAAAAAAATATTCCCTATTGGGGAAAGGTCTAAAATAGTATTTCTGTCTCTCTCTCTTTTTTTTTTTTTTGAGACAGAATCTTACTCAGTTGCCCATGGTGGCATCAGCCTAGCTCACAGCAACCTCAATTTCTTAGACTCAAGAGATCCTCTTGCCTCAGCCTCCCACGTAGCTGGAACGACAGGCATCCACCACCACGCATGGCTAGTTTTCAATTTTTAGTAGATGTGGAGTCTTGCTCTTGCTCAGGCTGGTCTTGAACTCCTGAGCTCAGGCAATCCACCTGCCTTGGCCTCCCTGAGTGCTGGGATCACAAGTGTGAGCCACTGCGCCTAAAACAGTATTTTCAAAATAACATTTATGAAGACAATAAGCTCCAGTGGAGGCAGGTCCTTAGTATTCTCAACTAAGCAAGCAGTTGGAGGAACAAAACCTGCGAGTGATTTCACAACAGCGTTTTTGCCAACAGAAAGCAGAGGACACAAGTCTTTTAAGAGGCAAATCACTTCTCTTTTCCCCATCCCCAGACAAACATTTAATGTTCCTTAGGTGCTGAGAAGCACATGTCTCTATCCCTCTGTGCTCACAAGAGGAGGTGAGAAGCTGTAATCATCCTCCTGTCCACTTCCCCGGAGGAAGACAGGTCATTACTCCATTTCCGCTCCAGACCCTCTGGTGTGTGGTTTGCCCAAGACACTAGCCTAGACTATATTCCCCTAAACGGAGGCTTAACCCATGCAAGACATAACCCACTGGTTTTTGTGTCAGCTAGACGTCAGGCTCTGCGGGCTTCCAAGAATACATTACCATGCATGAGCTTCCTAGACAACAACATCCCCTGACTGGATTTCTGATTGGATTTTGCCCAGTTTTTCAGTTACCTGATGGTCCATCTATTTTCTGTACCAGGGCAGTGGGGAGAAAAATCAGTAAGAAAAGGAGCCTGATGCTACCACAGGAAGGCAGGCTCCCCAATGGCCCCCTCTTAGCCAAGTGCAGTCCTGCTGTTTGCAGCAACACTAAGCATTCCAGAAAGCCATCTCCTGGATGTGCCGACAGCAGCCTGCACCTCTCCCCTGGGCACACAGTACTGAACAGCGCCTGGATACCAGCTTACATGAAAAGCATGTACCTGATTCTGTGCCAAGCCAAAGAGAGGACCCACTTGGTATCACAATAGCCTGAGATCTCCAAGAAACCGATTTAAAAAAAAAAAAAAAAAAAAAGCTTTTCTATGAAGCCAGAAAGCACACTGGTGAGTCTGTTGTTTTCAGCTGCACCTGAAGCTATGGAGCCCCTACAGAGTAATTTAGATGAGGTTTTTCTCTCTTTTTCCTCTTTAATCTCTAAGGAATTGCCACTACGCTGGGGCCACGTTGGCAGAGGCAACTCCGACTGAGCCCTTCTCAAAGACAGCATGGAAAAAAAAAAAAAGTCCCGCTGCATCAGTATCCCCAAGTACTTTTTATTCCCCAGTGCCCATCTGTAAAAGGCAACGCTCGCTTTGTGACAAACAAGAGGATAAATGTGCTAGCATTCAGACTCCACACCAGGCCCTGCAGAGCTGGCCACTTTACTGAGAATCCCTACATTACCTTGTGTGATGACGGGAAAGCAAGGAAGAAGGGGAGAGGGTTCAACCGGGCTTTCATTCTGTCCTTAGTTATTATATGCCTGAAACGGAACCAAGAGTGGAAAACACCTTTCCATTTCTGCACTTGCTGTCTGGGGCTGATTTTCTCTTTTTATTATTTTGTAAAAACCTTTTCTTTCAGGTTATATTGGAATGTTTTCTCTGAAATGCAAAAAGGCCTGTCTGCATTGAATTCCTGGATAGCTTCTCACTGATTAAAGTCTGGTTCGCATATAACATGCTCTTAACACGTTTCCTAGTTAATGTTTCTCTGTGAGAATAATTCCTGTGTGCTCACCTGCAAACCTGGTGACATACTGTTAATCCTCTCAGTCCCTATACCAGATAGCTGACTCTTCCCATAATTTATGTTACAGTGCCATCTTATGGTAGTTTATGGCCACCATTTTTAAAAACTCAGGGCTGTCTCTTCTGCTTTTTAAAGAAACATATAGATTTTAAAAATCATCTTTCATTAATCACACCAGATAAACGTCAAAACGGTGGTCTGTAAGTAAGAAAGCTGTTTCAGTGCCTGCTAAAGGTCAAACACCACAGAGGGTATCTGAGCAGCCACACAGACCTTGAAGACAACTGATTAATTTTTTTCAAGACATTTATGTTCTCATTCAGTGACTATTACTGCATAATCCGACATTTCAGAAGCAGCGTTCTCTGTGAATGCCATGACGTATTTGGGAAGAATATCAGAGGGAAAGTCTGTTCTAAGTAAATGGTTTGTGGCCCAGAATTTCCAGCTCTGCCTTCTCATTGTGCATTTCTCCCTCCACATCTCAAAAAACCCACAAAACTCGAAGGACCCATATCAGCATGACACAAGGAAACCCAACCCCACTTTTAAGCCCGATCATTTGCAAATGTATTTCAGTCCCAGGTTTAATTCTAGGAGAAGATTCCTTGGAGAAGCCTCATTCCGGAAGTCTGCCTGCCAATTTCTGGAGGCTTTAAGGCTTGTTTCCTCTTTCTCCTCCAGGTTTCTTTCCACCCACAAAGTTAACGTGCATCGTGAATGGGCCTGAATTTAATTCCTTCATCAGGACTTGCCAGTTCTGTGGCTGCACCGCCAGTCACTCTCAGGAATGCACAGGAAAAAGATGATTTCAATTCCAGGTTTGTTGAGGGGAGGCGGGGGGGAGTTCTGGGCAAATGAAATGAGTTCATGAGACAGGGATCTGGGAAGATCTGGGGTGTTAGTGAGGGTTTTATTAAAGTGAATGCCCCATCCTCTCTCCCGACAAAACAGTCCAATAGCTAGCACAGGGATCGACTGCTAACTCTCACATTCAAGAAGTCTTTTGTTCACATCCATCCCCTTCCCACATTGCCCCGTTTAATGCCTCATCATTCCTATAGGATCAGAATGAAAAGTTTGAGCTGAGGGAGCAAAGGAGGGAGGGCATCCTTCAGCCTTCCACGTATGGACTCCCCTCCCCTCTTCATACAGATACAGAACACACAGCGCTTCATTACGAAGGGAAAGAAATTAATATGCATTTAACTAGATGCAAAATGAGAACTTTGGAACAAAAGCAGTTTAAAAAAAGGCTTTTGAATGTCAAATATTTCTTGAGTTCTTCCTGCCCTGTCATAATTGAAATGCTTTCCTTTTTAACCGCTCTGTTTTCCATAATGGTATGGCTCACAAGCTCAAATTAACAGTCTTAATAAGTCATGGCAGGTTTTGTTTACTTGGGTTCCGCTTTCTTCATTCTTTCCTCTCGGTCCCCCTTTCCTCCCTTCCCCCACCTCTGCTTTGCTCAGAAACTTACCTTTGCTGACCTTTCTCTTCTCTCCCGTTTGGGGGCTGTTCTTGCTTCAGTCCCTGCACTTAAAATGTTCTTGTCTCTTCAACTGTCAGCCCCAAATCTGCAGGGGCGTGCTTGGTGCCCACATTTCCCCCATCTTTTTGTGCAGTGTGTGTGTTTGTGTGTCTGTTGTTGTTTTCCCCCCTTGAATTAGAAGAACACATTCAGCTGAGTCTGAACTGACTGTACCCATTAGGCATTCTTAAAGTGCAGATCGGCTCCACAAACGACTCTGTGCAGATGCAAAACTGACATCCTGGGTAGCCTCACCCCCCTCCACACACATACATGTGTATGCTTTTTCATTGCTATTCCAATTTAAATTTCTCAGTCTACCAGTCAAAAGAGATGATTTTTCTAATATCCATTCTGCAAACTCCATCTGGGATCCCCCAAACAAGCTGTGTTCTTCTGTTCCTTTCACATGCAGGGATTATAAAAAGTCTGCAAGAGGAGCAGGAAGGAGGTCAGATCCTCTTGGTCCTGAACCATGAGCATTTTAATGCCTGGAAACAAGAAGGGTAGCTGAATGGGGAAG